TAGGGTCGCTATGAGTCGAAAACGACTCGATGGCACATAACAACAACAACAACAGTTTGTCTTAGATTTCCTGACTGTTGGTGCTAGAGTGTTGATTGTGGAACTGAATAAGCTGACATTGTTAACAATTTCAATTTCTTCTCCATCTATCATGGTTCTATCAATCTACCCAGTGGTGAGAAGCTTTGTTTTCTAGATGTTGAGCTTCAATCCACTTTGAAGACTACACTTTTGATCTTCTGCCGGAAATGGTTCAGGCCCTTTTCAGTTTCAGCAAGCAAGGTTGTGTCATCTGTATAACATAGGTTGTTGATGAGTCTTCCTCCAATCCTGATGCCACATTCCTCCTCATAACATCCAACCTCCTGATTAATCTGTTTTGCATATAGATTGAAAGGGTATGGAGACAGGATAAATCTTTGATGCACTTCTTCCTTGAATTTCAACCATGTAGTGTTTCCTTGCTCTGTTCTGATGCCTGCTTTTTGTTTCAAGTATAAGTTTTACTTGAGTACAATCAAGTGTTCCCATTCATTTTAAGGTCAGCCACAATTGGTTGTGATTCACACAGTCAAATTTCTTTATACAGTCAATGAAACACAGATAGACATTCCTCTGGTACTCTTTGCTTTCAGCTAAGATCTAGACATTGGCAACAATGTCCCTAGTTCCACAACCTCTTCTAAACCTAGTTTGTATTTCTAGTAGGTCTCATTTGTTTTTAGATAGTCTTTGCAAGATTTTACTTGCATGTGATGTTAGTAATATTGTTAGATAATTTACACACTCGGTTGGGTCACCTTTTTTTGGAATGGGAATAAATATGGAAATAAATGGGAATAAATCTTTTCCAGGAAGCAAGGTGGTTGTCCTCCCAATTTCTTGTCACAACCTGGTGAGCCTGTCCTGAGCTGCATTTGATTCTTGAAATGTGTTGATTGGTATTCCATCAATTCCTGGGGAAATTTTTGTTGCTGTTTTTTGTTTTATCATACTTGTAATTTTGTTTATTATGTACTCTTACTTGAGGACCTAAGTCATTGTCATCAGTTCTAGTATTTAAATAATCAAGGAGAAATTCTTTCTGCTCCTATTGAATATTTTCTTAATTCTGAATTAACTATTTGTTCCCACTTATTAGTGAGTGCAAGGTTTTTACATTCAGAATCACACTTTGGAGGTAGGTGTAGGAGAATAGCAAATCTGAAAGTTCTTGATTATAGAATCAAATTTTGTTGCTGGAAGCCGTTACAACCGCATGTGCTCACCAATACAAACTTGTGTGGATGCTAGTCACTCTGGATAAATCCCTCTTCCCTGATCCCCAGGACTATGCCACTCTGTAAGAACACTAACAGTACCCACCAATGTTCTGTCCTCCATCTCCTCACTACAGTCTGGGAGAATGGAAATCTGAATTTGTTTGATTTTACATTCATTATTTTGTTGTAGATGCTTATAAAATTATCTCTCCTTTCTCTGAATTCCACACAGTCAGCACTAAAATAAAAATCATAAAGAACGCAGCAACAGCCAGTGTCCCAGGGTATTATCTCATCAACATTCTGAAAGTTGTCTTGACCCTGAATACCTCCTTCAGCAATATTGACAACACAATCTATTCACACATCCACATGATACGTCAAAGCTATTTTCCAAGCATCACCTTATTTCATCTTTATTAAGCCATAATGGTGATAGGATTTAAAAAAAATAAATTATGAAACAACTTTAGAAAGATCGAGTTACTGAAAGCCATACAATAAAGGCGAGATAATTTTTCCTCTAAATCTATGATCTTTTGCACAATATCAATGCCGACTCATAGAGACGCTATGAACGAACAGCCTGAACACATCAATTCATAAACATGATAAAAATTAACATATTTGAGTATAAGCAAAATAGTATGAAGTGTATCATTATATATTTGAAGATCAAGGTCAAAATTAAAATTTTTCCCTATGAATAGAAAAATATTAACGGATGAGTGAAAAACAAGCTTTTACATCTTAAAAATGGTAAAACAAACTACAGTGCTAACAAATTGATAAAAGCCAAACTGATTTGTCATTTATTTGTTAAGACTTTCCCATTCTCAGAGTGGTATACACTTTGAGTTTGATCTCCAAATGTAAAACAAAAAAAAAAAAATAGCCTACTTAAAAGAGTTTTGGAGCAGGGGAGGGAAGAAAATGTGAGACAATGAATGAATTTCTTTAAAAAAAATAGAGAATTATGGGGAGGTGTGATTCTCTGCTTTTATTAAAATTGCAATCAAGAGTAATCCAAGCAACTCCATTTGTAACATATGAGGTCATCATAATTCAGAGTCAACTCAAAGGTTTTGGGTTTGAGTTTGTCTTTATTATCTAGAAAAGTTTCATATTGAAATATTTCTTGCAAAAATGTACACATATATGTGTGTAAATCTATCTCTGGATTTATAGTATATATGGCTTTGAATGCTTATACTACTTCTTAGTAATTCATTTGCCATGCTGAATTCATAGCTGTTTCATTCTTGTTCTATGCTTCAAGTCACTATCATTAAGATTCTTTAATTAATAAGGTACTTTAATGAGAAAAATACTATAGAATTTTTGAACTATATAGTTACGTCAATCACAGAGTATATAAGTATTAAAAAACAATTTTACTTTATGAAAATATGTGAGACTTCTCTGAGTGATTAAGAAATTCCTGAATGTAGAAATTAAGGATCATCTTCATTTATAAATATGCTGTAGTTTTCAATTTAGGATTTTCTTTATATTTCTTAAAAGGAGAAATTTTAAAAGTAGGAATAAAGTAGACGACAAATAAGGATGTTTTCTTCCTGTGGGCTTCAATTACTAAAGGTAGCGAAGGCATAGAAAGTGTGAGAAGTCTAAGGAAATGCCTTTCCTCAGGGAAAAATAGAACATGAAAATGGTTAAGAGGAACTGTGTATTGGTCTCAATTTTGATGCTGATGCTTAGATAGCATCTAGTTCTCATTTGAAGTTTAAACATTTACTTGAAAAATGAATTCACGTGCATTTTTGTTTCTTTTGAGAGGTTCCCATGTAAAATTTGTTAACTATATCAATGAAGAACCGATTCCCAGTGTCATTTGGCTGGTTCTCCTTATAGGCCTAGGAGGAGCCCGCAGCAGCTACAAACGAAGGCATTTTTAATACTTCAAAATGTCAGGATGGTACGGATACTGAAATAGAAAAAGAGAAGATAATGTTATTTCAAGTGAGAGTCCAGGAAGCTCCCCGCCCCTTCAGTCTCGTCTCCATACATTTAAATAAATCCAAATGAAAGGGCATTTCCATGCATCTTCCCTTGTTCTCTCCATGTTTTCCTTCATCTTAAGTTCATCATCAGAGTTTGACTATGGCTACTATAAAAACTTTATTGCATATTAGTTAGTATCCTCATCAAAATCACTGAAAAAGTTCCAGTACATGGTACAATTATAAATATGAAACAACAAAGATAGTCACATGTAATAAGTATTTGCTATTTCCCATGTACTTTGTAGATTCTTTCCATGGATTTAAAGCTCAACCTAAATAACATTACAAGGTATGTTATAACATAATTACCCTTTTAGATACTAAAGGAAAGCTCTGGTGGCCTAGTTGTTGAGGATTTTTGCTGCCAACTCAGGGGCAGGTAGTTTGAAGCCACCAGCTGTTCTGAGAGAAAGATGGACAATCTTCTCTTACACTGTTTACAGCCTCTGAAAACTTGCTGGAAGGCCAGTTAAGAGTTAATTCTGACTCCTTGGTAGTAATTTGAGTTTATTGAGTAAGATATTAAAATAATGATATTTAGAGAGAGAAAATCTTTGCTCAGGGTTAGACATCTGGCATGTTGGTTTTGGATTCAAACCTCAATAAACACAATTATGCACAAATAACAAATAACAGATGACTTGCCAGAATAAATTAATTTAATAAGATCATTTTGAAGGTTAAATAAATATAGAATATAGATAGAGATGATTAAGGATCTTAGAAATAGATAACAACATTGACTTCTAAGAGACTTCATTCTTGGGAAGTTTGGAAATGTAGCATTCCATTAGAACAAAGCATTAGAGTGTTATGAAGAAATATTTTTAGAAAAACATAATCTTTGTAGCTCTTTAGATGTATATATCTTGTATGAATATATAAGAAATAGATGTTAGGTAATTTAGAAAACATAAAACAACAAAAAGTAAAGTTAACTTTAATTCTAGAATCTAGATATAAGTTATCAATATTGTATTATTAACATTTTATGTATATTAAGTTGTCACTGTTATTATTATCATATCATATAATGTATGATCATATAATGCAAACAGGTTTTCATTCACTGTTTCATTACCTAAAATACATTATGGGAATTTCCCACTGTAACGAAAATGTTTCATTTAATGATTTTACTAATTTCTAATATATAGTTGCAACTTATTTTAAAACTCCCTTAATGTTGGACTTTCAAAATATTTCCAGTTTGTGGTATTATAAATAACAGGTAAACAAGATTACATATATACACACACATACATATTTGCTTATCAGATTATTTCAATGGAAAAGGCTTCCAGAAATGAAATTGCTGGGACAAAGGATTTCCATTTTTATTGTTGCTTTATTATCTGTTTTTAAATATTACTGATAAAAATGAATGAATGGTTTTCCAGAAAGGATCTTTGTTAATAGTTAACCTTCCTGTAGTACATAGGGAGCTCTAGGGTGTAGCCCATAAGAAGTTGAGCTGTAAACCCAAAGAGTGCACTTCTCTGCTGGTTTGAATTCACCAGGGACTCCAAGGGAGAAAGCTGGGCAATCTCCTCCTCTCATATGACTTAATGTCTAGGAAACCCAATTTCTTTTTGGGGGGAATGTAATAAATTGTTAATTATTTTCTGCTTCATGGTAATGAGTTGGAATTGGAATTTTATAAACAATACATGAAAGTGTTTATGACTTGTCATCCTAGCTGATAGTATTAAATTTTTAAAAATTTGCTTAAAATAAGTTTGGACACCTAACAGCTAACATTTAAAGGTGAAAATCTTAGGAGAATAAATATGAGAAAGCAAAAGAGGCAAGGGATTTTGTAATGTGGAAATGGAATACAACTGCCTTTTACTATCTGAATGTCATATAAAAGTGCAAATCACAAATTATTGTTTTAGGTGGTTGTGAAAGTTAAATGGTAGGGGAAGAGGGAAATGGTATTGATTTTCTTTTCTCACCTTTGAGAAAATAGAAGATTCAAACATTTAAAATACCATTTTGCATCTTTTTACATTAATTTTTATTTATATATAATTCTTTCCAAACAGCACACATAAAATAAAACCCAATAATATTTGTAATACAATAACAATGCAATTAATTCTACTCTTACAATAAAAACTTTAGGATTTCCTAAATTTCATTTAAATTTACAGCCATTAATAGTCAAATGAAAGCTGCCTGAGGTCCCTGATGTAATTTTTACTTTTTTGCCTCAAATTCTTTTTCTTGTAAAGGACAATGTTCAGAGTCATTGTACCCATTATAATTTTATTTCATCAGAATAGGGAATGTAGAGCTACTTTGGTTCATTTTTCACAATTAGTTCTTAAAGTTCTACCTGCAACAATTGATCTGGTTTTGGAAAACCAAGGCACTTAATCATTTCTCTCATTTATTTCATTTTCTTATAAATTCAAAGTCAAACCCACTGGCTTTGAGTTGGTTCTGACCCATAGAGGATTTCCATCAAGTTTCCAAGACTGACAATTGCAATGAGAGGAGAGACTACACATCTTTTACCCTCAGAGTTTATGGTGGGTTTGAATCACAAAATATGTCTAGCTTTTGGGTTAACAGTACAATTTGCTTTTTTTTGGGGGGGGCGGCAGGGAATCTGTCAGAATCCAGGAAAAACAAAACAAACCAAAATGTATCTACCTCTTTCCAGAGCGAAGAAGATCAAACCCTTCATTTATTTTTTCAAAAGGTAAAACATGGGTTATTATTGAATCCAGTTGAAACTTCTTGGCCATGAAGTCAGCCACAAGTTTGGGGACAGCATCTTTACTTTTGTAGCCTGAAAAGGAAAAAAAAAAAAAAACAAACCCCAAAACTCACTCTTGTTAAGTTGATCCAAGAGAAAGTGGGAAAATTAAGGAAGAGAAAAACTAAATAGAATTAAAATAAATGTTTATAAATATTGTTACATGCTATAATTTGCTATTATCATTACTGCATTAGAAAGAAATAATGTGTTTCAATATATTTTCAATATCCTTTTTCTACAGCAGATAAACTGGAGTCTTTAGCTAGTGATTTTCTAATAGAGATACTGTATAGTACAGTCTAAGGAGCACATTTAGCAGCTATGTGGGCACAGTGCAAGCACGAACTATTGATACAGATTCTCCTAGTTATTTTTCTCACACATACTTTGGGAATGTTGTCAGGATAGTCCAGTTCTTAGGAAAATACATCATCATAGGAAAGGCAGAATTTCAGAGATAAAGAAGACCCTCACCAAGATGGGCTGACACAGTTATGGTAACGGTGAACATGTGTCAGAGACTAGGAAGATGGTACAGCATAGGACAAAGTTCAGGTCTGTTGTTTATAGGGTCACTATGAATTGTAGTTGGCTCAACATCCCACAACAACAACAAAAACCAACAACGATATTTTGGAGTCATTGGTACAAATAATTAATACATTTGGCTGCTAGTCATAGGTTGGTTGGTTGACTGTACTCAGAGATGCCTCTGAACAAAGGCCTAGTTATTTACTTCTGAAAAATCAGTCAATGGAGCACAATTCTACAGTGACAACACACACGGCATCACCATGAGTTCAACATGACTTAAGAGTGAGTAACTGGTTTGATTGGCAGTAGGTATTTTAGCATCATGTAGCTACAAGTATATAAAGTGATTAAATTGAAGGCCTTGTTTCACTATAGGAACTTGAGAAAGCCTTTCTGGGGATAATAGCCTGCCCACAATATTTCCACAACTAGTAGTTTTGGTAAGTAACCCTGGTGTGCTAAGCACTTGGCTACAGACCTAAACATTAGCATTTCAAACTGATAAAACATTAGCTCTGTTAACCCCAACCAACAAAAAAAAAAACAAAAAACCCCATCTCAAAAAACAAAAAAAAATGCCAAAACCTGACAATCTACACCGATGTAGGTTCATAGTTCTGTGTCACATGAGACTGCTTTCAGTTGAAACTGAGTTGAGAGTATTTAACAACAACAAATGATTTGGAGTGCCCAATAGAGACAACCGAAATTTAATTTCTTTCTAATTATGTTGTTTTTCAAAATCTGCTCTTGTCTCTTATAAATTCCCAAATTATGTATTTGATCCTCAAACTTAACTACATACCACCAAAAATTGCTCCTTTCCATGTGCGTCCTGTCAATAGTAACATGGGGTTCATTTCGAGATTTGTGGCACCCGGAGGTACCCCTATAATGACGCTTACTCCATACGCTCCATGACAGCATGACAGAGCCGAAATCTGGAATATAATTAATATTTAGTATTGTTAACTTAGATTCTTTGATAATCTCTATCCACAGTCCACCATAAGAGTCCATGTAATACCAGCTTAGCTAGGTTGTGAATGTATGGAAAAAGTTTTATCTTTTGCTTCTTTTTTCCTTGCTATGTCTCAGTTAGTGCTGTGACTTTGAAGAATATCTAGAAAATATCTTTTGAATGAGAGAGTGAATGAATTAATTTATGTGTGCATAACTTTTTCTCAACAAAGTAAAACAAAAAATAATAAAGAAATATCATCCCCATTTTGAGGAGTAAGGGAACACTCCAAAATTGGAGATACAACTTTATAACAATAGTATTAATTAACACACATCAAGAGTTTACCACAGCTGCTGGGGTGAGATAGTATCTCATTGTAGTTTTTATTTGCATCTCTCTTATTGCCAGTGATTTTGAGCATTTCTTCATTTGAGCATTTCTGTTGGCCATTCAAAAGTCTTCCTCTGTGAAAAGTCTTTCCATGCCTTTTGTCCATTTTGTAGTGGGGTTATCAGTCTTTTCTTGTGGAGGTTCTGGTATACTATCTCATTCCAGTAGCAATGGTAAAGTTTAATAGAATGGCAACCAATAAATGTTGGAGAGGTTGTGGAGAAATTTGAACTGTCATAAATTGCTGGTGGGATTTTAAAATGGTACAACCACTCTGGAAAGCAGTTTGGTGTTCTCTTAAAAAAACTCAACATAGAAATTCCATATGACCCAGTTATTTCAGTGCTATGAATATATCCCAAGGGAATTAGAACTGAGACAAATGGAGATTTGTATTCCAATGCTGATAGCAGTGTTACAATTGCAAGAACATGGAAACAGCCCAAATGTCCAACTAAATCAAATGAATTGAGAAACTGTGGCACATTCACACAATGGAATACTTACTACGCAGCACTCAGGAGCACCGATTTAGAAAAATACACATAAGTTGGGAGAGACTGGAGAGCATTATGCTAAGTGAACTAATTCAGTCCTATAAGGACAAATACTGCATAAGGCCATTATTGTAAAAATAGAAAGATAACTAATAAAATGTGTATGGAGGTCCAACGAGGAAAGGAATGGAATAAGAGAGTTAAGGATAAGCAGGACAGAAATCATAGGGTCTCAAAATTTGGTGAGTGGAGGGAGGGGGTAAAGGAAATGAGATTGATCTGGAGACTGATCTGTAAAGACAGGCAACAGTGGCCATAGTTCAATGGTGATTAATAAAACAATGTGTGGAAATGATGGCATGAAACACAATGTGAATGAAGGAAATTTTGGCACACAATGTACACGAATTTTGTATGCAAACCAAGATAAAATAATGGTAATAATAGTAATAATGATAATAATAATAATCTACAACAGCTTTCCAAATCATTCTGTGTTAGTTTATGTACAGTATCTCATATATTCTGCAAATAATATTATTTGATATATATGCCTTCTTTTTCTCACCCACCTACCACCATCCCACTGTAAAATCAGTTGATTTTTTAAAAGGATTCTGTTCAACACATAGATATTTGGTATCTATTATGTGCTAGACATTCTTCTCTCTGTTTTAAGGAAACATTACTGTTTCAGAAGGAGTAAATCACACAGGGTAGAAGATTTCCATCGTTCTCCCTCAAAGCAGCTGGTACCTCTGGGTTGGCAGTACTAATCCATGAAAGAAAGATAGGAAATCTCCTGCCATGTGATTTATTGCCTCTGAAAACCCACTGGAGGGTCACCTACGGATGGTACAAAGCAAGAATAATTTTCTGCTAATAAGATGATGGTAGACCTAAAATTGCTATTTATTACTTTGAACCAGAGAGTTACATGTGGGAAAAAAATTGAAATTATCTATTGTTAAAATATTTTCTTTAAGAATATGAGGGGGAAAAGAAAACCTTCCCAATTTGAAAACAGAATTTGCATCTCCCTGAATTATTAATTTTTTTTACAACAAATAAAATAACGTTGTAATCTTCAAAGTAAAAAAAAAAATCAAAACAAACAAATATCAAAAACCCAAAACCAAAACTAACTTCTCAAAGGTAAATGTTACTGGAGACATGTTTATTTAGTTTCTGCAATACAAAATTCAATATAAGTAAAATAATCAAGTGTAGTCCCAAGGGGTGTAAAAAGTTAAAACTCAACTGCTAACCAAAAAGTTGTCATTCTTATCCACCCACAAACACCTTGGAACAAAGGGCTTGTAATCTGCTCTGAAAACCTCTTCGAAACACAGTGGAAATTCTATGGGGCAAAGTTTTACTCGGACATACAGAGAGTTGCCATGACTAAATGGCAACCGGATTATGTAGCAAACAGAAGAATTCCCTAAATTTTCCCTAATTGTTACTAATGACCATTAAAATACTATATGTAAAAAACGGATTTCAGATTGCAGAAGCAGACACCTCAAAGTACGTCCGTAGTACATACCATAGTGTCATGCCGACCTATCACTTCAAAGGAAAAGTCCACCCCTCCACCAGTCATTTCCGTCAGCACCTCGTGGATGGGTTTCTTGAAGTCCTGGGGGTTGATGCACTCAGTGGCCCCCACCTCTTTGGCCTTTGCAAATTTGTCTTTGTTGATATCCACGCCAATGATCCTGGCTGCTCCAGCTGCTTTACAGCCCATGATTACACACAGGCCAACCCCTCCAAGGCCAAACACAGCACAGGTGGAGCCCTTGGTGACCTGTTATTTAGAAAATGCAGGAATAGATTAATTTTGATTGTTAGATATAGTTTAAGCTTCATAAAGTTCCAGACTTTGTCCATTATAAAGGGCTATTTTGATTCTCTGTTCTAATCTTCCTTTAACTTTCTTTTTGTTTCAGTTGCTTCGTGTTTGAATTAAAGTTTCAACTAGATCAGTGCCTCTCAAACTTCACTACACATTAGACTCACTTAATAAGTATTAAAACACACCAGTGCTCACAAACCATACCAGATGGAACCTCATCATTAACATTTCCTAACACTTTTCATGTGACTCCAATAAGCAGCTCAAGTTAGGAACCAGTAGGCTAGATAAATCTTTGAGCACTTATGTCAGTGCTCTGATTTTGAAAAGGATCACTAATCCAATGATGTCCAACTTAAGTTTATCATACATTCAGAAAGAAAAAAAAATTGGGGGAATGAAATAAGTGACAAAGTTATCCTAAGAGTCTTGGAAAAGCTAATCAAACCTCAATAATTTCTTAGCTCATTAATTTTCAGTAGTTCTAACCACTAAAATGAAAGTAGAGATTAAATGAGAAACATAGAATTGACAATCTAAAGGAAACTCTAATATATGGGGAGTTCAATGAATAATCTGAATATAACACAATTGGAGCTCTGTGTAATTTAGCAGGTGCGCTCTCTTCTACTTTTAAAAATATCAATAGACCATAATTTAATAAAACGGTGGTCTAAAATATCAATTTAAGCTGATTGATCTTAGCCTTTGCTCTATATTCACTTAAAATACTGGCTCAAATAGACAACATAATTACACACAAGAGAGGTTAGTGTTAGAATCACAGAAATTTGGAAAAGATGCACTTTAAAGTGTTAAAATAGACTTTGGACTGTTAATAAAACCTCATTTTCCTTATGCAGTCTTACACATAAGCAAAAGATTACTCCCATTTGATGTGACTTCACTGTAATATTCTCTTAAGGATGTTCATTCACTTACTCACTTGATCATTCATCAGATTTAATTAAACACTAGGAAGTTACAACATTGTTGTGTATCAGAAAAATACAAATTACATGACTCACAAGTGTTTGAAACTGAGTAATATGCTGTAACATTGAAGAAGAGTTTTGAGAAAGATATATTAGTCTCAGTACCATGAAATGTCAAACTAGGAGCCCTACGGCTCATGTGCCTAGGCTTAATCAAGTCTCAACAGCTTTTTCATCTCTGATAAGCAAGTAATTTTCTAGGACATGCTCTCAATTTCTTCTAGGATCATTTTTCTACTCAAATTTTATCAGTGCTACTATAGTATTCCTTTATTCAGTGATGCCATTGTATCAGAACTCACCCATAGCTGACTCTCCAGTAGGGAGATATTACTAAAATGTATGAGAAATGCTAGCCAATTCCTGTGAAAAATGCTTCTTTTTTTTGTTCCTGGCAATCTCATTACATTTATCATTGCTACCTGTCGTTCCTACCTTGGCAACTTGGACAGCAGACCCATAACCTGTAGAAAATCCACAACCAATGAGGCAGACTTTCTCCAGAGGTGCAGCTGGATCGATCTTGGCCACTGAGATCTCATCTACCACTGTGTACTCAGAAAAGGTGCTGGTGCTGATAAAGTGGTGGATGGGCTTTCCTCTGCAGGTGAACCTGATGCTGCCATCCTGCATGCTTCCCCGAGGTAAAATTAGACTGCACAGTGTAATAGAGACACACAAGGCATGAGACAAACATACCAGATGTGCAAACTCACTTGTTATGCAAAGATCGTATCAGAAACCTACTCATTTTTCATGCAGAAGTTGCTTTCTGGGTGTCTACAAACTTCACATTTTCCACACTGGGGAGTAAACAGCGGGATAACTTTATCACCTGGAGCAAAAGAAAACAAGTTTATCTAAATTTATAGCCAAATATTAACAAAGTACTTTAAACCTTGGAATATAAGTTAAGAGGGATAGATAGATGAT